GCTCTACAGTTTGCCGCATGCGTTCGAGAATTTTCGGTGCGCGATAGAGTCGCGTGACGAACTGCCAACGCCGGAGGCTCTTCGTGTAAAAATCGTGGAAGAATACGACGCGCGAAAGAACGAGACTCGCGATACCGGACCGAAAGCGATGTTCGCGAGGAAACATTTCGAGAAACGTCGGAACACGAGTCAACGAAGCGAAAGCAAACCGAAGAACGAAGCAAAGAACAATGAAGTATCGAAGAACGTGCCATTCAGATTCAAGTGCCATCGATGCCGGAAGGTAGGACACAAGGCAGCTGACTGTTCGGAGTCGAACAAGGAAAGCAACGCGAATGCAGTAGGAGACGCATGTTTTGATGCGGAAACTCATCACGCCTTCTCAGCGGGAACTTTCGCGAGACCAGGAGCATGGTGTCTGGATAGTGGCTGTACGACGCACATGGCCAACGAAAGCGCAGATCTAACGAACATTGTGAATATTGGATCGGGAAGCGTGAAACTGGCTAGTGAGACAGGAACAGCTGAAATTCGTGGAAAGGGCAGTGTTTCGCTGGCGACAGAAACCGGCGATACGTCGCGAACGATCAGCGTGCGCGATGTGCTGTGCGTGCCCGAGCTACGTACGAACTTATTGTCCGTCGGTAAAATTACCGATCAGGGATACAAAGTGTTTTTTGACAGCGACAAGGCCGAAGTTGTTGACCGGAATTTGAACACGGTTCTAACGGCTGAACGGCTCAACGGACTGTATTACGTTCGCACAGCGAACCACAAACGTGACGTGGGTGTCGCAGGATACACCGGCGTCAGTGCAATGTCCGGAATCGAAGAATGGCATCGTAAAATGGGCCATCTGAATGTCGACGATCTCGTGAAGTGTGACCGCAAAGGAGCAGTGCGAGGCTTGAAGCTCGGAAACTCGCGAGAGGCGTTCGACTGTGAAGCGTGTTGTCGCGGAAAAATGACAAGATCACCGTTTCCCAAGAAGTCAACGAGAAAGTCAGAATTGCTGGAAATTGTTCACAGCGATGTTTGCGGTCCCATGCGCGTGGAGTCCATCGGGGGAGCAAAGTATTTCGTCACGTTTATTGACGACTACTCTCGTTGGTGCGAAGTACGTTTATTGAAACGGAAGGATGAGGTTTTCACGGTCTTTAAAGAGGTTAAGGCATCCATGGAGAATCGAACTGGAAGAAAGGTAAGATTCATTCAATCCGACAACGGCGGAGAGTACAAAAATGAAGCTTTCGACCGGTTTCTAAGGGAAAATGGCATCGGAAGAAGGCTGACGGTAACGAATACCCCCGAACAGAACGGAGTGGCCGAGAGGCGTAATCGTACGCTGATGGAAGCCACCAGATGCCTATTGTTGCAGTCGTCGCTTCCTACATCGTTTTGGGGCGAAGCGCTCAACACTGCAAATTACATTCGAAATCGATGTCCCTCCAGCAGCCTCGAAGGCAGAACGCCATACGAGAAATGGACTGGGAAGTCGCCTGACGTAAGTCATTTCGCTGAGTTTGGATGCGAGGTTTTTGTGCTGGATCGAAAGCCTACGAAGGGAAAACTCGAGTCACGTTCGGAAAAGGGTATCTTCGTCGGGTACTCGGAAGAGACGAAGGGGTATCGCATCTGGATGCCACACAAGAAGAAAATCGACATTGCACGGGATGTAAAATTCGTCGCGTTACAGAATGCAACTGAGAAGTCAGCAGTCGATTCAGAAATTCTCGATGAAGGACGAAGTGCATCAACGGAGAGATACGCGGTGTTTCCGGAGAAACCCGCGGAAAATCATGAACTTCAAATCGAAGACGAGGGTTCATCGAATGACGAGGAAGAGTATGAGTATCAGGAAAATGATCGAGAAGTTCAGCAGGGCGACGCTCCGAAAAGAGGTCGCGGTAGACCCCGTATTGTACGCACTGGCCTCAGGGGGAGACCAAAGAAAATGTACAACGTCGCCGGCATGGCTGAGGGAGACGAGGAGATAGTTCATCTTGCGGAAATTCCACTCGAAAGTGCTGTACAAGGCCCTGAAGCGGAGGAGTGGTATCAAGCCATCGCTCACGAAATAAGATCGATCATTGAGAAGGATACGTGGACTCTCATTGACAGACCCGGCAACCAGCGAGTCATCGGCAGTCGCGTTGTGCTACGCAACAAGTTCACGCCGAGTGGTAAGCTAGATCGCAGGAAGGCCCGCGTTGTGGCTCGAGGCTTCGCTCAACGATCTGGCGTCGATTTTTTCGAAACGTACGCACCGGTGGCACGTCTCAGTTGCGTACGAACGATGGTTGCGTTAGCAGTTGAGCATGGAATGTTCTTAAATCAGTTCGACGTAGCCACTGCATACCTGAACGGTATTCTGGAAGAAAGCGTCTTGATGGAAATTCCGAAATACACAGCAGAGGCTTTGGAAATCATCGTAGCAACGGAGCACACAGGCAGTAACGTCAAGGAGAAGGCGTTGAATATGCTGCATGAAGTCCGTAAGGGTGGAAAAGTGTGCAAGTTAAACAAAGCGCTCTACGGCTTGAAGCAGGCCGGAAGATGCTGGAATACGAGGCTCAACGAAGAGTTAACCAGATTCGGGCTAGAGAGATCGAACGCGGACCCGTGTTTATACTTCAGGAGAAGGAAGGACAGCGTACTTATTGTCGCTGTTTACGTCGACGACATACTCGTGGCATCACCAAATCAAAGCGATATTCGGGAACTAGGAAGGCACCTATCAAGGGTGTTCGAAATCAAAGATCTGGGACCCGTGCATTATTTTCTCGGAATGGAATTCAATAGAGAAGAAGACGAGATCACGGTGTGTCAATCCGGATACATCCGGGACGTGCTGGAACGTTTTGGGATGCTCGAATCGAGAGCGGTTGCAACTCCGCTCGATCCTGGGACGAAACTCGAGAAGAGCGAGGACGAACCGACACCAGAAGAAGCATCTCTTCCGTACAGAGAGCTTGTTGGTGCTCTTATGTACTTAGCGGTGTGTACTCGTCCTGACATCACTTACGCCGTAAGTTATCTAAGCCAGTTTAACTCTAGGTATCGTACGAGTCACTGGGTGGCTGCGAAACGAGTCTTACGCTACCTTAGAGGAACGCAGAATGCGGGACTTAGATTCCGGAGGACAGGAAGATCGTTAGAGGGTTTTGTAGATGCCGATTGGGCGAACTGCGTGAACGACCGGAAATCGTATACCGGATTCGCATTTATGCTTGGTGGCTGCGCCATTTCTTGGGAGGCGAGGAAGCAGAAGACGGTCGCCTTGTCTTC